ACCTAATAGCGATGGCCTCCATCCTAATAGCGATGGCCTCCAACCTATTAGTGATGGCCTCCAACCTACCAGCGATAGGAACCTAACTGCCAGATTTTATCGGGGTCTGTGAAATGCCTTTGACTCGACAGCCAAGGCGCCGGTGCTGTCGTAGGGTAGGGTGGTCAAAGGCACAAAGTGCGAGGTGGTCAAGACCTGGAAAAGCGATGCAGTGATGATCCTGGTGACAACCACGACAACGGCCAGCAAGCAGCAATCCTTTGAACGTGGTGACTAAAAAAAGAACAGCTTGAAACCCTTCGACCTTCAAGAGGCACAATTCGATAGCCACTAACCACTAGACCCAGGCATTCCACTTGCTTGCTTGCGCCACGTCACCGTGCCACGATAAGGCAATCGAAGATGAGCCTCGCATTGCGTTCATTGGTCTGGTCTTGTCATGTCTTCTCCAGATTTCTGGCATAGAGCTGCAAATCATGTCTGTCCTCAATCTCATGTCCAGAGCTCATGATAGCCCAGTGAAACCTCGTCTGTGTAGGGCACCAATGAATCCACCCTTTAATGAAAAAGAACAACTAAGATTGAAGTCCTGCTGCACCCCGGCAATCAGAAAATGGTCTGAATTCCACATTATGAATATGCAAAGGACGTCAACCCCATACATACACATAATATATATATATACGTTGCCCAATGGAAGCCCAAAAGCCTCATTCAGCTTCAACATCCACTTCCAGAGCTGATGGTGATCTAGTGGCCAAACCTAAGCACGGAGCACATAAGTATCATCATCCTAAATGTGTGTGTGTGTGTCAACAAACAAACATTCCATTGTAAGGGCCTTGCACATTGAGCATCAAACCCGACATTTGGATCTGGACCTGAGGCAAAGGTGCTGCCAATCAGCCAAGCCCACTCGAAAGAGCAGCTAAATGTGTTGTGTTCGAAAGAAAAGCATTGTATAGTGTATATATATAGTATAGGATATGTAGTCTTGAAAACGAACATACGAGGGCATCATTCGCCATGTACGACAATCAGTACTGAGAATCAGGCGACTTCTCTTGTCAAATTCCGCACTGTACCAGGAAAACAACGGAACCACATAGACGTCCTCTCCAAAACCCATGAAAGGAGAAGGAGATTGTAAACATGTCTTGCAAGTTGGGTTGCCATCATTTTGTTCCCAACGATGTCCTGTCCAACGGCTCCAGGAAAGACTTCCACCTGAACTTTACAATCAGCAGCATTCTGCAAAGCACATGACCCATCGGGGTCTACAATAGGCTAAAGCTACTCCAATAAAGTTTGCACTGCTAAGTTCCCAGCTCCAATTTCTTCACATGCTGACAACAAAGCCAGGAACTTCGCGATGGAATCGGGAAATCGAGCTGTTCTGACCTGCAAAACGATCTAGATAAATGTTCTATAAAGCACTTGAGAGGCCACTTGTTTGGCAACATCCCCGGAGTCATGCACAAACAAGCACAAAACCACAGCAGGCAGGACATTTTAGATGCAATGACCTCAATGATAGTAGCTAGACAACGGAATTACAGCGTTGGTGTTTACTCTGACACTGTAAAAGAGGAATGAGCTGCTGCCAGATCTGCCGGGTCAGTGGCAGCACAGTCTGAGGTTTTGCTGGCACAGGGCCTGCTTGAACCACGGTCACATTGTAGGTGAGCAAACTGGAGGCTTGCCAGAGTGGACAAGTGACTAACATCTGCGTCAAAAGAAGCTGAACAGATGATAGCTCGCCAGGCGGCCAGGTTATTAAGAACCATAGCACATCAGGGAAAAGGTCGGAAGGACATCTTTACTTGGCTAGGAAAACATCTTCTTGGCGTTGCCAGACTTCTGGCGGAAGAGGAGCCAAGGTTTTCTTCCTGCAAGAGGAGGGGATGCTCAAGTCTTGGTAGGCCCAGGCCCATGCTGTAAGTGGCAAGCTGGATGCGATTAGCTGGAAAGCATTTGGGAGCACTCCTTTCAAACCACCTCCAATCAACGCTCACCTCTCACTGCCCATGGTTTTCAATCATTGAGGAGCTCGAAGCGCTCTACACCAGAAGCCCACACCAATGGCAAAATGTGTGTTGAAACTGCAGAAAGCAAGGGCACACAGTGTGACACCTGTCATTGAAAAGGAATTCGACACCCCCAAAAAGCGATAGACCGTTCCAAGAACAAGGAACAGACTAGACTGCACTGGCCGGTGACCGGTTGTTCTGTTTTGAGCCTGCGGCTATGCCACTCACAATCGGGGTGTTGTCCGGAGAAAAGGCAAGCAGAGTTTCGGCGAACACTTTGAGGAGTCAGACACAGTGCACAAAACGTGCCATGAATGTCAATATATCGGTAGGTAAACAGCAAAAGGCATACAACCCTTCCCACTATTCTTCCCATGAAAGGCATTCCTCTACAAACCAGCGGCTAGGGCAAGTGATGAAGAACATGTGGCACATGCTTCCAAACTTGCGCCAACAAATGTTTCACGTGTGTAGGCCATGTACTGGCGGAGCCTGCAGCAGGTGTAAAATCTTTCAACGGTTGCGATTCCAGAGGAAAGGACACTTTCAAGGAGCCATCGAAGGTGGTTGTACACGGAGGCCACCGTGCACTAAACGGGCCTGGAAGCTTGCAAGCGATAGAGGTGCCAAACCTTTTTGCAAAGTGCATCCAGAATGCCTTCTGGAATCTCGGTCAGCAACTTGTCCTGCAATTCCTCTAAAGGCAAGCCAGCAACATCGAGGGCATCAAAGCCTTTGGGAGGTAGAAAATCAAGAACAGTTGCGTGAGCTTGAGTAAAAATCTAGGCCACGGTGATAAGAGAGACTAAAGAGTTAACCATAGAGTCTCCAATCTAGTTAACCTGGAGAATGATTGGAGTCTGATGTTAAGGCGGAGGTGCACGCATGTGAGATTCAGTGATGGAGTGTGCACCCAATGCCTGTCAGGCCTATGCCATGCCAAAACTCAACTAGCAGAAGAGAATCAATATGATCAATATATGTCTTTGCTAAACATGTTGCAAGCGCTGGCCGCAACTCGTGCTGGCTGCAACCCCAGAGCCTCGCTGGCATTCAGGGCCAGGTCTCGGTTTCCCGGGACATAGAAGACACGCCGGAACTTCTCTTTCAGGGCCTAAGGCGAAGACAATCACCTCCACATCCCGCAGAAGACATATCTTCAGATCGTGTGACAATCCTAGCTTGTGCTCCCGCCGAAAACTCTTAATTACAAGCTCCTCACTCAACAAGACCCACTGCACAATATCTGTAAGGGCCTTTATTAAGGGTGGCACATGATGCTACACATCATCAGGTCTTAGGTCCGAGTCTTGCCCGTCAATTGGAAAAGGAAAACCAGCGAGCAAGCATTCCCAGGCCTTCAAGCCGCGCATCACGCTTCTCAGTGTGTCAGCCTCACATGAACTGACCCCAGCGAGCAAGCATCATTCTGATTCTGTGCGGACTCTGCTTGCATTGATTCGTCAAGTGGATAGGACCCCTGCTACGTTCCCCGCCACGATGAGGACATCGTCCTGGAAGTTTGTTGCGGGAGGCACTCAATCCTCTTAGAAGTCTTAGCTCGGCGTTTAACTCTAAAATTAAGTGCCTCATTCGTTTCACTTGCCAAAAAACACAACAGGCAATCCTGGAACTGCGAATCATCCAGATCTTGGCACCACCTGACATAAGTCTCCCAGACAGCTTACAGCTGCTGCATAAGTATTAGCTTCAAAGAAAAAAACAGCCAATATGTGTGAACCAGCAAAATGTCCATAGCCTGTTGCATGTCCGTGAATAGTAGCCCTACGAAGAACTCTTTGGAAACCGTTTTCCGTTCAATAGATCATGCTTGTACTCCAAGATACAATGTTGCCTTAAAGCACAAGCTCTTTTCTTGCTTCCGCAACTAAGGATGTTTCACTCACACTCATATTTGTACGCGTTTATATTATGGAGAGACAAAAAAACTAAAGAACATCAGCAAAAGCTTAGAGGGATAATTGTTAGTTTTAGAAGGTAGAAGTTTGATCGAAGTACACTTTTAGGGTGTCAGCAGTCCGCCGGCCTGCCGGCGTGTTTTGTGGATTGTTTTGGTTAGTATTGCTTGTGTTGGTTTCAATCTACGGTTAGTCTCTCCGCGCGGATTTTTCGACAGCCTGACGCCCCCCCCCTCCCCCCCCTCCACTGTAGGTAGTGGCGGTGGTAGTAGTAGTAGCAGTAGTAGTAGTAGTAGGTAGTAGGTCGCTGGATCAGAATAGACAACCATTGGACTATTGGACTAAGACATGTCGATCGCTGGATCAGAATAGACAACCTCTGATTCGGATTCGTTCCATTTCATTGTAAAACGACTTCGCTTGAAATCAACAGCAACAAACTCTCCCAGCAAAATGTGCAACTCCAATGCACCCACAAGTCTGATTGAGCAGGGTATTGTTGTTCGATGTCATTCTGGGTCTTTCATTTCAAACGGTTTGGAGAAAAAAACGACAAATCATGCCAGATCTAGAAATTCTTCGGTCGCTTTGAAGCCTTCTGTGTGTGAAAAAGAATATCTGGTGCGTGTCGCAATCCCTCGAGACGGTCGAAAAAAAGATCTGAAAAGGAAAACATGCACACGGCCAAGTAGTTTGGAAGAAGAATCGTTTTCAAGGTCATGCTTCGTGGATAGTCTTGGTTCACATTGCTTGTGTTGGTTTCACTTGGTTCCTCTTAGGTGATTCGACTGAGACACGCCGGTTCGGATCGCTGGATCAGAATAGACAACCTCTGATTCGGATTCGTTCCATTTCATGGTCAAACAACCTTGAAATAAACATCAACAAACTCACCCAGCCAAATGTGCACCTCCAATGCACCAACAAGTATGATTGAGCAGGGTATTGTATCATTAAGCTGCCTGCCAATGCGGGCTCGAGCTGGTGGCCGGCGGCATGCCGAAGGCTGTAAATAATCCAGGATTACGTTCTGATTATATGCGTGATGATCTTGATGGTTTCAAAAAAGGTTGCGGCATGAAGTTAAGAGCGCTGAAGGTTCTGTAACTGTAGAATTCCCGGCGGCAGTTCAAATGTCGGTTCACCTTGAGTCTTGAGAGAATTCTTTCCTAACAGGAGAGTTCATTCTGTTCCCTTCACTCGGCAGCTCCTGCAGGGATCTGTAGGGCATCGTTGTTAGAAGTATCGTCTTCGTCCCTTGTCTGATGGGGCATTGTATAAAGAGAATGCTCTTCCGAAAAGTCAATGTGGAAGGTCTTGAAGACTTGTGCTTCTCAGTACGCAAGCACAACGGCCGTAGCTTTAAAACAGCAACGCAATTCAACTTCCCAAGGAGCCGACTCAGCGTTGGCTTTGTGATCATAGTACAAATCAGAGATCAGCCAAACCTGTTTCACTTGGCGCGGCAAGCGCGCCGCGCACAGAGGCAACAGAAAGTCCCAATTAGACACAGCACACATACGGCGCCGCAAGTCATGATGAACCAGAACTGGCAATGTGTCATGCAAAGTGAACTTCTATCATGGTTGCGTCAGCAGGTGTTGTTTTGACCTATTTGGAGTCAACACCACCTAAGAGTCTTTGGATTCACTGTGATTCACCCAATCAGAGTTTCAAGTGACTGGCTGTTGGCCTTGGCAAATGCACGAGGGCGGCCACGATCTTGCAATAGCCGCTCAGATCGTTGAGCCTTGAAAATCAAAGGAGGGTTTCGTCTGATGGCCGAACCAAATGCAGTGATCAAAGGCTTCGCCAAACATGCTGTGACCGGTTTCAATGGACTTGCGTTGCTTTCACAGAGCGACAAATTTCAATGCATTCCTACTGTAGAGTGTTAGCTGTTAGCTCGGTCGCCCGAGAACAAGCACAATGTCTCCGTGCGTGAAGACATTCTGGGGTACTCACCATCCTTGATCTCCACTTTGGAATGGAGGTAAGGCAGGCCTGTAATCAGGTGTTTGTGAAATTGCGCGGCACTTTCAGAAATTGTTTGGAGCTGCCCACGTGACATTCGTGACATGCATGTGGGCACCCCATGCCACTGCACCTCCAATCCACTGCGAGCCGAGGAGTAGTGCGAGTCAATGGCCTAGCCAACAGAAAGGTGTGGGATATTCTTGACAAACTTTGAGGACAAGAATCGTGCATAATCTGACACTATGTCACTATGGAAATCGACGTAATCGAAAGATAACGAAAGTGTCTCCTGAGCAACATTCGGGCCAGCCAACTAGCAGGGAAGAGGTAGGAGCAGGGAAGAGGTAGGTTTCGGTGGTAGTTGGGAGCAAGTTGGCCAGAAGGCTCCTCTGGAGAATAGTACTATTATGTTTTTAATACAAACCCGCTCTTGAAATATAGTTGGAAATAGATCTGATTTGTTCGTTTGGATGTTCTTTGCAAAGAACTATTTTAGAAATATCCGCCTTATGCAGTTAGCGTATTCTGCTTATCTTGCCTTTAGTGGGTTGACTAGAAGGGGGTCTTAGAAAAATATTGAGGGAGGCATTAACTGAGCCTGCCGAAGTTTAACCACTAGTCTGTCTTCTGAATGGCACAACCGGTCAAAATCTGACTGTTTTGGAATCTTCTCAGACTTTTCTTCACTAAATTCAAGCTTACATCCCCAGATTTAAAGCAGTCAAAGCAGCAACAAAATGGCAAAAGGTGCTGCAAAGGAAACATTTTGCAGAAATACAGAACATCATTGAAACCAAAAAACAACAAAAAGGCAGGCAAGCACCAACTAAGTAAGCGCAGGCCAAATGGCAATGTACGCTAAGGACAGATAGTGGCGCAGACCAACCGCAGACCAATGGCAACGTACACAAAGGATGGTGGCGCAGACCAACCGCAGAGCAAGCGCAGACCAAGCGCAAACCAATGGTGCTACGAGGCTTTTGTTTTGTAATGTTTTGAAACTTTTTTGTCCCTAGTCTGAGGTGGGGTCAAGTTTTTAAGCAGCCAAAGCAGCCACAAAACGGTAAGATGTGCTGCAAAGCATATATTTGACAGAAAACAAAGAAAAATTAAATATGTACCAAAAAAAGGCAGGCTAGAACAAACCAAGCGCTGGGACAAACCAAACGCAGACCAATGGCAGTGTACACAAAGGATAGTGGCGCAGACCAAGCGCAGATCAAGCGCAGACCAATGGCAGTGTACAATAGGATAGTGGCGCAGACCAACCGCATACCAAGCGCAGACCAATGGCAGTGTACACAAAGGATAGTGGCGCAGACCAACCACAGACCAAGCGCAGACCAATGGCAATGTACACAAAGGGTAGTGGCGCAGACCAAGCGCAGACCAATGGTGCTACGGGGCTATTGGTTTGGTAAGCTTTTAGAAACTTTTCGTCACGGGGTCCAGTTTTCAAGCAGCCAGAGCAGCCACAAAACGGTAAGAGGTGCTGCAAAGCATAAATTTGACATTAAACCAATGACTGCACCTGCACCAACATTTTACACTGGCTCAAACAAGCAAATCATACCAAGTGGACAAATCACAATCAACAGCTTTGGCAAGCAGTCATCCTTTCAGACATACCAATAATATATGGGTGCCCTTTGAGTGCAGCAGTAGCTTTGGCTGGTCATTTCTGGAGATGTCATCTTACAAGGTTTGAAGCACTTTGCATGCAGTTGGAACACACAAAACACATGGCACATTATTGAAAGAAAACAATGGAGGAAAGCCAGCAGGCAGCAGCTGTATTCCAATTGAATTGTTACACTACCCCAAGTGTCACACTCTGTATTAGTGGCTTGATACCCACCATCTCAATTTTATTTGTAATACTAATTAGGGATTTGTTTGATTGTTTGGTTCACCAACACAAACCAACAGCAATATGTTGAGCTTCTTTTCCCAACGTTGATGTCAAATCTCAAGACACTTGGACTTCCAACTTAATGGCTAGGTTATGAGAAAAATCAACTGCCGCCACTTTAAGGATTTCTCTGGGCCTGCAAATCCTGCTACCCAAAATGAAACCCTTAGATTGAGACCAGGATAGAAAGACTGCTGGCACGTCCAATTGCAGCACTAAGTATACTCAACTGAGTTGAGGTATGGAATCAACAACTGAAAAGTACATCACAACCCGGGTGATTATTGTTCATTGAAATACTGCTTTTAACAAGTTCTTGACAAACAAGGTTTATCAGATACTTTTATCTGAGTGATACCATTTTTTACATACTGACATATACAGACTGTTATGCAAAATGATGTTGATCAAAAACATGTATATAGAATTCCTACCTCTTCCCTGCACCTACCTCTTCCCTGCTAATCGTCCCGTCTGAAAAATCGCTGTTCCACTTGAAACTAAACCCATGGGTAAAGATAAGGTAAATTAGAGGATTGTCGCTGCGCTAGTGCCAAAGCACGCCGGTCAGGCCAATGCCCAAGCAAATTCCACATAAGCTTCCTGACGAAATGATGAGAAATAACATGAAACAACCTTGGCAACTGGCTTCGTCATCCCTTGTGAACTCGACGAATGTTCTCCTCCGGCAGACCAGCTCCAAGAAGTGCCACACCTAGACGGCATCGTGCCTGACCAGCCGAATGGTGTGCGGTGTCGAACGGAATATGGAGAATACGAGAGTTTCTCCCCTCCAACCAGACTCATATCGGAATACTCGCCATGTCCTTTCCAACGAAAATACTCTCGGTATGGAAGAAATGGCCCATGTTGGCCAGGGCACTTCATGAACAGCGTGCCTGTATTGCTAATTGCTCTGTGATACGTACATCTGCCTCATGCTTTCTGTGGATCAAAGTAGTCGGTACGGTCTACGACTACAACCTGAAAATCGGCTCCTTGCATGTCTTTGTTACATTCTCAAAATTGCTCTTCCTGTTCCAAGGGTTAGCAGTGCTGCGAGAGCAGTTCTAGGGGGTGAACGCCGCATTGAGCGTCTTCTGGCCAGAGCAATTGCAAACACACACAACCACAGAATCAAGACATGGGCAAAGGCTACCGCAGATGTTTCAAAGCCTGCCCTGCCTCTTTTCGGGGACTTCTGGTGCCCTGCCTCTAGTCCCCTGTGTTCGTGTTTTCTGGATCCCAAGCCGTCACGGGGCGGGCTTGGTTTTGAGCGGACACTTGTCGTGATCGACTTGCTTGAGGTGGTTCCTATCAAAATCTATCAAATATATATATATATATAATTATATATACATATATCGATATATATATATATAGTTGCAGGTTCCACGGATAATTCTTCAACATTGCGTGCTGATCACTCTGGCCTTGGCTGAATCGCGCTGCAGTCGCACTGCCATTCGAGCGTCTTGAACAGCCTCAGCTTGATGCTCTTCACAACCTTGTTTGGGAATCCCAAACAACTGAAGGTATACGGAGCCAGGTTTGGGATTCAGAACGAGGAACCAACCTCTGAGACAAGTGAGAAGCTTACAGCTGATACAATACGAGCCATAAGGTGCTCAATATGATTGCCTTCGAACGTATTGGCATGGGATTTCTTGGGCGTTGGGCGATCAAAGGAAACCAAATATCATTCTTTGAAGCAAAGAGGATAGGCGACAACACCGTGCAACCATGGTGGAGTTCATGATGATGTCAATCAAGTGTTCATCTATCTTTTGGGATATCCCCCCGGTAACAGCACTGAACTAGTGATGATTCTGTTCCGGACTGCTACTGCATGGTCGAATGGTTGTATATTCCAAAAACTGTTCGCCATTGACGACCGAGAAACAGGGCTCCATCGTCTCAGGTGACAAAGCCTCAGAAAGTGGGTCTGCAGAAAACGGCATCGTTTCGTCCTAATGGCGCATCCCTTTCAAGTGCAAAGCCACCAAGTTCTGGACGCTGCAGCTCGGTTTCCATACAAGGCCGCCACCTCCGAGACGTCTTTGGATGCTGTTGCCTGGCTCAGAGCTCAGCAGAGAGACTTTTCTACTGTGCTCGAGTATGATTTGATTTCACCATGTTTCACTCTGAAAACTCTCCCAGTTTCAAGAGCTAACAGCCTGTCGGAGTTCCTCCACCGCTTCGCGGAACTTTTCTTCTGCATTGATACGATTCTCGGACTCGAGCAGGTTCTTCTCTTTGCTGGCCAAGGCCTCCCATGATTTGGAGGGAAATCAAAAATTGAATTCCAAACGGAGCTTGGCAATGACCTACGGAGGATCAACACTTATATAAGACATCTTAAGACAATACACCATCGGTTGGACAAACAGCAAAAAGGTCCTCAAGCTCTTTCATTGGCACTGCAGCCTCTGCTGAGAGATGAATCAAAGCCAAGAACAATTGCCTTGAACTTTCACAAACTGCAGGACTCAATTGGCAGCTTTGGGAAGTCAGCCTAGCTGTCCAAGTCTGCAGCTAAGTTGCTGGATGTAAAGCAATTGCCACGGTGTAAAAGGCCGTCGCCAGGCCTCGGGTCGAGGCAAGGACCCCAAACAGCTGGCAAATGACGAATGATCTTGGCTGATGTCGCCCAAGTTCAAAGCCGAAATTTGGAGGAGTTGCTGCAAAGGCAGCATCTCCATTGGTTTTCTCGACCTTTGCCAGCTGACATCCAGCATGCAGTGCTTTGGCAAACAAGGCGGTCCATCTACCCCGCTTGGCGGAGCACATCAGCTTCGCCGTCGAAATGAACAGCTACAGCCTTGGTGACGACCATGGACCAGCTGGATGAAGAATGGCACAGGGAGGCTACGGAAAGCTACGGTGTGAATGCGTCAAAGAAAATGAAAGCTCGTCTTCGAAGTGTTCGAACCAGTTACAATTGGTGCTCATTGACCTTCCTTGGAAAGACCAGGTTGTTTGGGGGGTCTGCCTATGTTCGGACATGTCCACACCAAGGATCACATTCAAGGCGTCAATTTCAGCCTGGAGCTTCTGATGAGCTTGGCATAGCTCAGATAGAATAACATAGTTTGTGAACTGTGGCAACTCTGGTTGAACTCTGGTTGAACATGAATCAATATAGTATATATATAGTTAATCAATGAAGCTCGTCAAACGCCAACTCGGCCTCCAAACGCCAGGCCTCAAACATCCAAGCTGAGCAGGCTGAGTGCAAGACACCCAAGGCTTCCAGGTGTTCGGGCGAAGGGTCTAGCCTAAAGGTGACATGACCGAAACAGTCAATGGTTTTCAATGCGTTGTATTTTTTTCTCAAGAGGGTGAAGCAACTGTTATATAAACGATCCACTTGTTTGTATTTGGAATGTCACATTTATATGATTCATAGGTTCCAAAATGTTTCAAACACATAAAATCACTTAGGCCATATGCTTCTATTTTGAGGGGAAGCTGGCGGACTGGTAAGAACTCATCTGCTGAAAGAACCAGCAACTCTTGGGCACCAAGCTCCACGGCATGTCGATAGGCTTGGATTGCCTCCTTGAGGTCCTCATCGGCTTGCAGGAAACTCTGGCAAATCACGTTAGGTCAAAAAGCCTCGAAAAGATCATCAAAATGGCCTCAAGCCCCGAAAGGTAATTACTAAGCAGGATGGAAGCCTAAAAGCATCTACATAAGTTCTGTAAACCTATATAAATCCTATGTCTATATGTAATGTAAGCATTCCAAATGCGCCCATGAATCCAATCAGAATGATTCATAGTCCTGCAGCCCCTCAGCTGCTATGCCCAAGCGACTCCACACGCGTGCCCATGTTGGTCGGAGCTCCTCGACTTTCTGAGCAACAACAATCACCCCATTTCAATCTTGACTTCGTCCAAGGCGTGATTTGATTCGGACATTGGCTTTAGGAAGCTTCAAAAGATGGCGTGGATGCCAAGCTCTTCAGGTTTCGCTAGCTGTTTTTGTCATTAGAAGTACTTAATAGTGTTAAATAGTATCTATATACGGACCTTTGCATAAAGTATCATAGAGTCATACAGCAAACTAGTGTTTCGCACGAGAATCCAGAAGACCACTCACTCAGCAGCCAGGTGCTCTCGTGACTTTCGGCACACCTTGGCTGCTTGTGCATCCGCCATTGAGCCCTCGAAGTCTTTGACCTGGCGACCCGATGAACGACCCGACCTCAACTCGTCATATCGAGGAGCCCCTAGTAGCGTCCTTGCTCCTAGTAGCGATGCCAGGAGCCCCTGGTAGTTTCTTGTTCCTAGTAGTAAGGCCAGGAGCCCCTAGTAGCGTCCGTGCTCCTAGTAGCGATGCCAGGAGCCCCTGGTAGC